CTAGTTTTGAGATGGAACTCAAGGTTTTTGTTGTTGTTGTTGTTGTTTGTTTTTTTGTTTGTTTTTGAGACCGAATCTTGCTCTGCCGCCCCAGGCTGGAGTACATTAGTGCAATCTTGGCTCACTGCAACTTCTGCCTCCCAGATTCAAACAATTCTCCTGCCTCAGCCTCCCAAGTAGCTGCCACTACGGGCACGGCTAGTTTTTATTTTTATTTTTATTTTTATTTTGTATTTTTAGTAGAGATGGAGTTTCACTATGTTGGCCAGGCTGATCTTGATCTCCTGACTTTGTGATCCGCCCTCCTTAGCCTCCCAGAGTGCTGGGATTACACCGTACTCAGCCCTCAATTCTTTTAGTTTTCTTACTTTTAGTTCCTTCATCGTGAAAAATTATGTTCTTCTTTTGACTTATAAGAAAAGAAATAGTATGCATTTGAGTGGCTTCGAATATGTTAGGTATAGGACACGTGTGTTATTCTCTCTGGTTGACAGCTACAATGTTCTCTATACTAGTCTCATTCTTACTGTTGATGTTTTTGTTTTTAAATGTTCACTTTTCTGGAGAGAACTGAAGGCAACTCTAAGGACAACAGAGAAGGGAAATAGAAATGTTTTAATTTGATCATATTTTTCATATAGAACCTCTCTTCTAAAGATATTTTATACATTTTTAAACATTTCAAATGTGCAATCAAGTATAGTGAAAAATGTAAGATATGTCATTAAACACTTCACTCAGATTATTCAGTTTGTCATGGTTAGTTTTAGTAACTATTATAAAAAAGATATTACACCTTAAAGGCACAGTTGAAGCTTCACACAAACTTATTCCTGTCCCTCCCCAGATATAACCTTTTTTTTTTTTTTTTAGACAGAGTCTGGCTCTGTCATCTGTGCTGGAGTGCAGTGGCGTGTGGTCTTGGCTCACTGCAACTTCCACCTCCTGGGTTCAAGCCATTCTCCTGACTCAGCCTCCCAAGTATCTGGGATTACAGGTACATGCGTCCATGCCCAGCTAACATTTTTACTTTTATGGAGACGGGTTTCATCATGTTGGCCAGGCTGGAACTCCTGACCTCAAGTGATCCTCCACCCTAGGTATCCCAAAGTGCTGGAATTATAGGTGTGAGCCACCACGCCCAGCTGGTCCCTCCCCAGATTTATCCATAAGTTGGTATATATCCTCTCCCTTGATGTTTTTATTTTTTTACTACATATATAAATATATATGATATATCTAAATATAAACATTATGGTATCCAGCACATTTATGATTTAAAACAATTCCTATGAGGCTAGGAGTGCAATGTTCACAAGACTGTTTAAACTGGCTCTTTAAATTGAGTTAAATGACATACTTTCCATCAGTGTATGAAAATGGCTGATTTCCAGCAAGTTCTACAATATTTGGTAAGGAAAATTAATTCTGTCAATATATTGGTTGTGAAATTTTATCTCATTTTGGCAATAAATTCAATTTCCCTTATTTTAAACAGGCTTTCAGATTCCCTTTGCCTTTCGTGTTTCTTTTCTGTAATTGTCTATTGATATTGTATGCTGATGTTTCTATGTTTTTGATTTTGCCCTGGTTACACTAGGTTTTTATATATCCTTATACACCAACCTTTGTCAGTATGTAAGAATGTTTTCATAGTTTGCAATCTTTGTCTTTTCTAACTTCCTTTAGAATGCTAGTAACTTGACTTCTTATTTCAATAAAATTAATTCAACAAGCCAGAAGAGAACTGCTGCACTTACTTCCCAAAAAAAATGCATTAGCCTACCTTACCCACCAGCATCTATCCCTTTATGTTTTTTTTTTTTTTAATCTTGTTTTAATCAATGTCCTATCTGTGTTCCCATATAATATAAACAATTTCCCTTGTGCGCTAAATCCTGTTCCCTGCTCAGCTCCAAAGAAGATAAAAGGCTAAACTTCAGAGTGAACCTCCTTCTCTAGGAGTGACCCTTCTTCTCTAGGGTCATTCCTGAAGTTGCCCCTTTTATCTTCTTTGTTTTCTGCCTATCATTGTTACCATTCTAATGGACTATTACTATCAGTATAAAAACTTTACTAAATTAATTTTTCCTTGATCATATGTTTTCTTTCATTTATCACTATGTTTCTAAATTCCCTTTTGTAGCAAAATGTTTTGAACTAATTATTTGTATTTAGGGTCTGTGCTTCTGTGTATGTTTTTTCTCTCGTTTTGTCAGCAGACTAAAACCCACCCTTCTTAAATAATACTTATCATCATCACTGGAAATCTTAATTTTGTCATGCTAATAAACAAGCCCAGCTTCATTTTACTTCATATATGAGCAGTATTCAATAATGTTGATTTTTTTTCTCTTTTAAACATACATTTACTCTGTTTGTTATTCTTGTAATTCACCAGCAGTTCTTATTTAAAAGCATACTCTTATCCTTTTTCTTTCTAAATATTGGAGTAATTTCTCTTTTATTCTCTAACTACACAGCTGACTTATGATTTTCAGTACCATATCATGTTGATCATTTTAAATTCTTATCTCAGTCTTTGAGTGTAGACTCATACACTCAGCTGTCTTCATAACATCTCCACTTGGATGTCTAACAAGCATTTCAAATATAACTCTTTTAAGAATAAATCCTTAATTCTTTTGTCTCAAAATTACTCCTTTGCAAATTTACATCAACTGAATACATTCACTATGATTCCTCCAATTGCTGAGGCTCTAAACAGAATTTAATTTTTTCTCACAATCTATATGCAGTTAATTTACATTAACAAGTTTAATTGGCCCTTCTTTAAAAATTTGTCCTAAATCTAATACTTATTATCTCTACAACTTAGTCAAGCTGCAGTATTCTCTCTGACTGACTACTGCAGTGTTCTCTATACTAGTCTCCCTGATGCCACAATTTGCCCTAGTTGTTGATTCTCCAACCAGGGTAACATTTTTATTTTTATTTTATCATTTATTTTAAGGTGAGGAGTACGTGTTCAGGTTTGTTATATAGGTACAGCTGTGTCATGGGAGTTTGTTGTGCAGATTATTTAATCACTCAGTGTTAAGCCTAGTACCCATTAGTTATTCTTCCTTATCCTCTCCCTCCTCCCATCCTATACCGTTTGATAGGCTGAGTGTGTGTTCTTCCTCTCATATGTTCTCATCATTTAGCTCCCACTTATAATTAGAACATGTGGTATGTCGTTTTCTGTTCCTACGTTAGTGTCATAATGATAATGGCCTTTGATTCCATCCATGTTCCTGCATAGGCCATAGTCTCATCCTTTTTTATGGTTGCGTAGTATTCCATGGTGTGTATATTACACATTTACTTTCTCCAGTCTACCATTCATGGGCATTTAGGTGGATTCCATGTCTTTGTTATTGTGAATACTATGGTATATCATTGTGGTTTTGATTTACATTTCTTTAAGTGATCAGCAATGTTGAGTTGTTTTTCTTATGACTCTAGGCCGCATGTATGTCTTTTAGGAACAAGTTTCTGAGTCCTTTGCTCCTTTGCCCCATTTAATTAATTAATTAATTAATTAATGATATAAAGTTTCACTGTTATTGTCCAGGCTTGAGTACATTGGTGTGACCTTGGCTCACTGCAACCTCTGCTTCCTGGGCTCAAGTGATTCTCCTGTGACAGCCTCCCAAGCAGCTGGGATTAAAGGGCCCACCACCAATCCTGTCTAATTTTTGTACTTTTAGCAGAGAGGGGATTTCTCAGTGTAGGCCAGGATGGTCTTCCATCTCCTGACCTCAGGTGATCTGTCTGTCTTGGCCTCCCAAAATGCTGGATTACAGGCATAAGCCATTTTGTCCAGCCCTTTGCCCACTTTTTAAGGTCATTATTTTTTTTCCTTGTAAATTTGTTTAAGCATCTTATAGATGTTGTATATTAGACTTTCATCTGATGCATAGTTTGCAAATATTATATCCCATTCTGTAGGTTGTCTATTCACTATTCACTCTGTTGATAGTTTCTTTTGCTGGAAGTTCTTTAGTTTAATCAGATCCCATGTTTCAATTTTTGCTTTCATTACAAATGCTTTTGACAGCTTCGTCATGAAATTGTCGCCCATTCCTATGTGCATAATAGCATTGCCTAGGTTGTCTTCCAAAGTTTTTATAATTTGGGGTTTTATGTTTAAGTCTCTAATCCATTGTGAGTTAATTTTTGTATATGATGCAGGAAAGGGATCTGTTTCAATCTGCTTCATATGACTAGCTAGTTATTCCAGCACCATTTACTGAACAGGGACTCCATTCCCCATTGCTAATTTCTGTCAACTTGGTCAATGATTAAATCATTCTAGGTGTGTGACCTTATTTCTGGGTTCTTTATTCTGTTCCATTGTTCCATGTTTTTTATTTGTGGCTGGTACAATGCTGTCTTGGTTACTGTAGCCCTATCGCATAGTTTGAAATTGAGTAACATGACACCCCCAGCTTTGTTTTGTTTGCTTGGGATTCCGTTGGCTATTCAGGCTCTTATTTGGTTCCATACGAATCTTCGAATAGCTTTTCTACTTCTGTGAAGACTCTCAATGGTAGTTTAATATGAACAGTATTGAATCTGTAAATTATTTGGGCTGTATGTCCATTTTAATTATATTGATTCTTCTTATCCATGAGCGTGAAATTTTTGTGTGTGTATTTGTGTCATCTCTGATTCTTTGAGCAGTGTTTTGTAGCTTTCCCTGTAGAGATTTTTTTTACCTCTCTCGTTAGCTGCATTTCTAGGTATTGTATTCTTTCATGGCAATTGTGACTGGGGTTGTGTTCCTGATTTGGCTCTTGACTTGACTGCTGTTGGTGTATAGGAGTGATAATGATTTTTGTACATTGATTTTGTATCCTGAGACTTCGCTGAAGTTCTTTATCAACTTAAGGAGCATTTGGGCTGAGGCTGTGGGATTTTCTAGATATAGAATCATGTCATCTTCAAACAGGGATAGCTTGACCTCCTCTCTTCCTATGAGGATACTTTTTATTACTTTGCCTTGCCTAATTGCTCTGGCCAGGACTTCCAATATTATGTTGAATAGGAGTGGTGGGAGAGGGTATCCTTATTTTCTGCCAGTTTTCAAGAGAGGGTTTGAGCTTTTGCCCATTCAGTATGACATGGGCTGTGGGTTTGTCATAGATACCTCTTATTATTTTGAAGTATGTTCTTTCAATACCTAGATTTTTAACGTGAACGGGTGTTAAATTTTGTCAAAGGCCTTTTCTGAATCCGTTGAGATAATGTGTTTTTTTCTTTAGTTAGGTTTATGTGATGAATTATATATATTGATTTGTGTATGTTGAACCAACCTTGCATACTACTTGATAAAGCCTACTTTATCATAGTGGATAAGCTTTTTGCTGTTTTGCTGGATTCTGCTTGCCATCATTTTTTTGAGGGCTTTTGCATTGGTGGTTATCAATGAAAAATTGGCCTGAAGTTTTTTGTTGTTGTTTTGTCTCTATCAGAAAATAGCCAAAATCAGAGCTAAACTGAAGGAGATTGACATATGAAAAAACATTCAAAAGAGGAAATGTTTTTTGTTTTTTTTTTTTTTTTTAATTAACAAGATAGATAAACTGCTAGCTAAACTAATAAAGAAGAAAAGAGATGTGATCCAAATAAACACAATCAGAAACAACTGGGAGATGTTACCAGTTATCTCACAGAAGTACAAATAATGATCAGAAAATATTATGAAACCTCTATGCATATGAATTGTAAAATCTAGACGAAATGAGTAAATTGTTGGACACATATGTTCTCCCAAGACTGAACCAATGAGAAATTGAATCTCTGAACAGACTGGTAACAAGCTCTGAATTTGAATCAGTAATAAATAGCCGACCAACCAAAAAGAAGAGCTGGTACCATTCCAACTGAAACTATTCCAAAGAATTGAGGAGGAGGGATTTCTCCCTAACTTATTCTAGGAGGCCAGCATCATCCTGATACCAGAGTAATATTTTTGATGCCATGCAGATCATGTGAGTCACTTGCACAAACCTTTGCAAAATTTTCTCATGGCAACTGAGATAAACCCCAAGCTCATTGTCATGATCTTTAAGAGTTATCAAGATATCCAATGCTTTATCTAATGTTTTAATTACTATGGCTTCAAAATATTTCTTGCTATTCGTGTGAATGCCCATGCTTATATTTCTTACTGAAACTATCCTGTGATTTTTGTTCCTTTTACCTTTACACATACATTTTTGAAACATATTGCTTATGTACACAAAACTTGGGATTTTGATTGTAACTTAATTGAATTTCAGACAGTCTTTTATATTTTTACGGTAGACATGCTTTTATTTATCAATATGAAATATAAGAAACCACATTCAAGAAAAGAAAAAGAAAGATTAATATAAAAAGCATAAAATAAGGAAATTTATTAAAAAGAATATAAAACTAAATGGAGAATATAAAAGATTATGAGAAGACATTAAAAATTAATTAAAAGTTAACTTTAGCAGATATATAATAAAGTTTATAAACAATGGAGATAAAATGTCCTTTAAACAAGGCATATAGTAGTACTACAATGTAAAACTAAAAATACACAACTAGTAAGTGTTTATGCATGCAGATAAAATGAGAAATTTAAAACTAGAAAATGAAAAAGATTCTAATAATGAGGAGCATATACATTTAACATGTCCAGTAAGGCCTTAAAAAAAAAAAGGAATATAAAATAAAACATGTCAGAAAATAAAAATTTTAAAATTAAGTTTTAAGAAAAATATATACATATATTAATTCATCATACAATAAGAAAATCATAAAATGTTCTAACTGCTGAAGAATGATGACCAAACAAAATATAAAATAAAATATTAAAAATTAAAAAATAGAACAAAATAAAATAAATATAAAAATAAGAAAATAAAATAAAAAAACTTGATGCTAATGATATGTGCATTTTATATTGGTCTTTTAATAAAGGCATTTTCTTGACATACTTTCATATAGGTTCATCCTTAGTTTCAGAGTGGAAAGATGATTGATAAGGAGCTAGCTGCAGTGCTTCATACCTGCCATTACAATCACCACAATTCAGCCGGAAACTCTCAGCATCACCATTGCTCTTCCTGAGACGTGCACAGCTCCACTGCAAGCAGTCAGTCAGTATTCCTGCAGTGATTCAAATTTTAAGTTGTGAATAAACCTTTTTAGAAAAAAAATTCTGTATAAAGAGTAATAATATTTACATTCCTATAATAATACATTTAAATTGCAATTTGACTGGGAAAATGCAGAGATAATATGACTTGTCAGAATCAGAAAGTTAATTGAAGCTGAAGGTTCATGAAATTGAGTAGGGTTTCTGAAGGCCTATGTCTAGAAAGAAGAGAATACTACGCAAACAAAAGCCATAGAGACTGAGGTGACAAGTAGATAATAAAAGATGCAGATAAGAGAGAAGCAGAAAATAACAAGTATATGGAGACTAATTGAGTCAAGATTAACAATATAGTGATTCCTTTTCAGGTTTTAATATTGCCAGTGGTCCTACGTATAAGGCTTCCAACATAACATTTTTTTTTTTTTTTTTTTTGAGACGGAGTTTCGCTCTTGTTACCCAGGCTGGAGTGCAATGGCGCGATCTCGGCTCACCGCAACCTCCGCCTCCTCCGTTCAGGCAATTCTCCTGCCTCAGCCTCCTGAGTAGCTGGGATTACAGGCACGCACCACCATGCCCAGCTAATTTTTTGTAGTTTTAGTAGAGACGGGGTTTCACCGTGTTGACCAGGATGGTCTCGATCTCTTGACCTCGTGATCCACCCGCCTCGGCCTCCCAAAGTGCTGGGATTACAGGCTTGAGCCACCGCGCCAGGCCTCATAACATTTTTTATTTAATTTTCTTGGCTTTATGTCTTTGATCATATGTATATTTATACCAATGTTCATTATTTGAACCAGTCTAAATTAGTTCTTCTTTATAAACTATTATGTCAAATTTTTAAAAACCCTAAAGAAATAGAGTGAAATGGTCTTTGAGTAAAGTAAAAAACAAATGAAGAATCATAAACCAAAAGAATCATCATTTGGCCATGATTGATTGGGATTACTAAAATAGTAATGAACAGAATCAAAGTGTAATTCTGGTCAACATATTAACCAAACAATAGAAACAATTTTTTTTTGTAAAAAAATAATATATAAAAAATAAAATATGAATAAAATAACGAATAAAAATAAAAATATTTTGTTTGCTTTATAATTTTATCTCAAAAGTAATTTTAATTTTAATAATTAAATGCAAACTTTTGCAAATCAAGGCAAATAATAGTATGACTGCTATTTTCAAACAAAAAGTGGTTTATAATACAATAAGAAAAACAGCATAGAAAATACATTTATTATATAAAAGCTGAGTACTTGATTTCGTTGAGATGCAGAAAATCTACAGAAACTTTGTATGGATTTGCACACATCTGCATTTTGCTTGAGCTTTTATAAATACAAATCCCTTTTGATAAAAAGTTCATCTTTTAGGCTGTTATTAATTTCTCCACTTAAGCTTCTATTTTTTTTTTTTTTTTTTTTACAACAAAGTATCTCATTTGACAAACACCTTATTTGCCAATTGAAGCAGGGCATTTTTAATACTTAATTTTAATGCCTAAAAAGTTTTGTCTTGAAATGAGTACATTTGGGAAGAATAGAACACACACACACATACACATATATATATATATATATATATATATATATGTTAAATATATTTATATACAGGTATACTTCAATGTAATAAGCATTTTATTTATTTTTGTTTCAGAACATATCACCCATGGATGAGGGTACCATACCTTTATTAGACTGCTTAATATTTTTTCCAATATCCTTTTTTATTGCATTTTAGGTTTGGGGGTACATGTGAAGAACATGCAAGGTTGTTGCATAGGTACACACGTGGCAGTGTGATTTGCTGCCTTCTTTAAGTTAAGCTTCTTTTTAAAATTATTGCTATCTAAACCTCTCTTCAAGGCTGCCTTTACAGTAGTCTCAAATTATATGAGTCCTCCTCTGATTTTTCCTGTGTTTCAGTTAGACTTGACTTTTAATACTTCTTCAAACTTATATTGTGTATTGTTTACATTATGATTGTTCCCACAGTAATAACTTTTTTCCATTCTATTGTTTAAATCATACCATTTTTATTTTTAATTAGGTAGAAAACACAGACAAGCAGTACATTCTAATTTCAAATTACAAAATAGTAAAAGTAAAAATAAAACTAAGATTACAGTGGAAATAGTAGCAACATAATTAATAGCAGAAATATAGTAAAGAATAATAGAAGCTATAAGAATAAAATTATAATTATTTATGTCCTTTAAACTAACAGAGTAATACATATTATGTACGTTCTACTTTCCATTTCTACCAGGTATCCACACTGAAACCTGTAAGTTGTGTCTAGAATCACTTTACTTCCACAGGGAAGGTAATTCCCAGTTAATCTGATTAACAATTAGTAGTATTGAGTTAATTAAGCTTTGAGAAATTTTAATAAGGGAAATTTTAATTTAATTAAAAGTTTTTTTTATGGTTACATAGTAGGTGTGTATGAACATACATATACATACATACTCATACACATCTGCTATGTACCCACAACATTTTATACACATATACATACATATATGAGGTATATGAGATGTTTTGACACAGGAACACGATGTGAAATAAGCACATCATGGAGAATGAGTTATTTATCCCCTCAAGTATTTATCCTTTGAGTTACAGACAATCCAATTACACTCTTTAAGTCATTTAAAAATATGATTACATTATTATTGACTGTATTTACACACTGTGATGCTGTAAAATAGTAGGACTTATTCATTTTTTTTCTATCTTTTTGATACTCATTAACCATCCCCCAATCCCCCACCAGCTCCCACTGCCCTTCCCAGCCTCTGGTAACCATACTTCTACTCTCTATTAGGTTAGTTGTTTGACTTAGATCCCACAAATTAGAGAGAACATGTGATGTTTGTTGCTGAAAATATACCTAAGTTTTACATATCAAGACTTTCAATGTAAAAAGGCCATGTAGTCCTGGACAATTCATAATAT